GACATCTATGGTGAATTCAATGAAATGTATAATTCAAACGATAAAAGATATTATATAAATAAAATGAAAAAATATTGAGATAAATAAAAATGAATAATAGTTATACTCTCAATTGTATTTAATGATTTGATGTATTATTATTTACATTAATATGTATTAGTTTAATGATAAAAGAATAAAATCCTAAAATAGAGGATTCATCATAAAGTTCTAGTTTAGCATGCATTTGTGATGCAGGCGCATTTTAATATGCGCTCTTCCAACAGAAGCAACAGATTCAATCTATCATGTTAATTATTTCTTATCTTAGTAACATTTAATTATTTAATTTATGCTACATTAAGATTATGGTCACATCATTTTAATAAAAATTGTAGGATTCATTTCCCTTATGGAAATAAGCAATAGTAAAAAAAAAAATAGTGTTATATATATAGAAATATATTTATAATACGTATTAGAGCAAAAAGGAAGAAGCAAAGAAATTATCAACTGTTTTAAAAGGTAAGCTATGCTTTAATAGCTCAAAATGAAAAAAAAATATAAATTCATTGTATTCTAAAATAAATACTTTACGACTCTAAATATATTATTTTATTAAACCCTTATATTAGATACAATAAATGATGAAATATTAGAAATGTATAAAGGAAATATGCTTAATGTAAAACTATTATTTTTGTATTAATTATATATATGAAAACGAGGTTTTCACAATTCTTCTAGAAAAAAATTTTACGAGGCAGAAAGGCTAAGCTTAACATATACACACATATATATATTTAATTATGATGTTAAACTGCACTTCTTCTTAATTCTCAGTTTAATGATTATATTATATTAACTCATGGATATATATTATTTCTCGTATTTAGTTATAGTGTGTGAATAGCACGATAACACATGTTATTGAACTTTTCTTATTTTTTACATAATAATAAAAAATATATTAAATGCTAAAACCTAATAAATGAATCCCAAATGAGAGAAAATACAAATAATGCACTAGAACATAAAAATATTAGAAGAATATGCAAAGGTAACCAGTAAAAACAAAAATGTATTAACACAAGCGCTAAGTGAAGAAAAAATATCTAGTGACACAATAAATGGAAATGATATCCTAGCTAAATTGCTATATTTCCTTGTGAATATATTCATCTCTAATGTGTTTATCTCGCTGAATACAGTATCTTTTGTTGCATTAAGTATATAGTTATTTATTTACATCATGTGTGAAGTATGTAAATAAATAAATAAATGTGCACATATGGCCCTATTTTATTTATGTAGATATTTACATTTCTATATTGAGCATTCGTTTTTATTAAATATTTTTAAGTATAACATAGAACAACTAATCCTCATTATTAATATTTTATTTTATTATTTTGTTTTATATTTAATTTTCTCCAATGGAAAAGTCTATATCATGCATCCATAAAAAAATAACGAGCAATTTTTGTCACACTTCGAGTTATTGTAATAAAGATAATGATTTGAAATCATCAATTGAATGTTTCCTCTCATTGAAATGTCACTCCTAGGAGAACACGAAAAAACAATAATGAAGTGACGTTTTGTCAAACGAAATATAAATTGAATTAAAAATCAGTTTTCATCACCACAATAAACATAATCACCCTACAGCACTTCACAATAAAAATTGAAAAGGACATGTACACAATAAATAAATGCAAATATTTATACTTAGTTTCTTATTATATGCTTATATACACTTATCTGATATTAAGACAACTATAATTGTGTTGACAGCAATGATAATATCAAAATGGCAATGCCATGATTATAACATGTTCATTCAGAAACAAATAGAAGAAACACTCTTGTACGCAAAGAATTCGTAGACACATTCACTGAATTCATAAATGAAACATAACAAAATGGAGCGCAAAAGATTGTAATAATGTGTTATCAATTTTTCTTGTGCGCATACTTTGCAAAGAGATAATGTTATAATAGTAAAAGCAAGTAATATTATTTTCATTGGACTTAAAAAAACATAAAAACGAGTAAGAAATTTAGGCTGCAGTTGGATATCTTATATGGTGTTTTTGTTTGAAACACACGAAGTTACTAAAATGCTCCTTTCAAAAAACATGCATCTGTGAAGTTCTGTTATGAATAGGAAAAATGCTTTACGACTAGAAATAATGAACATTCGATTTAATACTTATAATTTAGAGAATAGAGCTATAATAGTAATTATAAGCAAATACTCATATAGTTCCATTATATATGTGTGTCGTGGTCAAGTTTATTGAAATATTCCTAGTGAAAATGGATGGTTCGATTGTAATAAGCTTATGTATTGTTAATAATAATGAGAAAAGTGTAATGTTGATTTTATGGAAAGCTAAAAAAGGGCCTAAATACGTAAAATGTAAAGACTCCCGTGGCATCAGATAATACCTAAAGCATGTTCTTTGACAATGCATCGTTAGACCCTACGTATAAGTCATTAATCATACTATGTCTATTGAATCTGAAAAAGTATTGTCACATAGGAGCTACTATAAATAATAGATGTCATAGCAAATCAGTTCACACAGTTTATACTGTACAATTTGACAAAAATATTCTCAACTTATGATCACACAGTGACAACACATGTCTTCGAATTTTCCATAATAATATGTTTATGAATATAAGGAAAATTTTAACCAACAATTATACATTATATCCAAAATTACAGTTATATAGAATTTATTCTTCATGAATTTATCAATAGAAGAGCTATTAACGCAAAAAAAAAAAAAAAAAAAAAGTTGACTAATATGTCGTTTTTTTTTTTTTTTTTTTATAATTATCATTATAATTCCCTTTTTGCTTTAATAAATATTAAATTTATCACTTCTTATAAAGATATAATACATTATAATTATTTAAAAGAAGCAGAAAAAAAAGTGAGAGCAATTATATGTGCGAAATTTTTATTATGTTGAAAATACATTAAATATAATTTAATTTTCTTAAATGTGTCAGAGAATATGAATATATGTATATCCGAAAACAAAATTTACAAGGTATTTAAATTTACAATAATTCAATATAAGTAGACCTTTCGTTCAATATAATAGTATTAACAATTTAGATTAACTACTAAAATTAGCAACATGATAGGAGCCTCTAAATTTTAGTATTCATTGCATCCCTGTAGCACATTTTTTGGTTTTCTTAAAAGTTTAGAATAAGTAAAACTCAATGCATACAAACAAAATGTAGTGCATAATATTCATAACATTATAATGGCCAAAATAATTGACTCATTTTAAGAATGTAAAAAATTTTATGAGCTAAGTTATTGGATTATTTTAAGACCAAAAAAATATTAATATTTTACAAGTCATAAAAGTAGTCCATTAAAAATGAATACTTCTTAAACGTTATCACTATTTGTGTGAAAATTATGGGAGTTCTATGGGTTAATAAAATTATAAGGAAAAATCATAATGTCTAAGAAATCATATACGTTTATAGATCGATTGTTGTATAATTTTACATATATAATAAACGTATTTTCATGTTCTTTATTTATATATTGTACATATTAAACTATATTTTTTTTCTTTTTTCTTTATTTTTTGCTTAAATTATTCATTTTTATTTGAAATGCTATTTTTTCTAATTAACTATATTACTCAATTGTTTGTCGCTAAAGTATTTCCATTTAATTAAATAACATATTAAGTGTTACCTCATTTAGAGTGTGTTTAATAATAAATATACAAGATTTTGTTACTTTCGTTTTTTATAATGTTACAAATATGATTACAAAAATATAGAAAATCTTACATTTATAGTATCATTTTGTCGGCTAAGCATAAAAAAAGTGCATATAACTCTTTATCATGTAGTATTATAATATATGCATAAAATTGACAAGAAACAAAAATTAATTATATTAAAATTATAGTCAAATTAATAATTCATTTAATAAATTTATTTCCTTAGGTGTAACAGCCCTTTTCCTATTTAAGTATCAATATTACAAGTAAACCTTAAGAAGGAAGAAGTATTATTTAGATAGCATTTTACATATTATTTTAACAATTGAAAAAAAAGTAAAATATATGAACTTATATAATCATTTTAAACCTGTGAGTATACTAAAAAGGAAATTATTTTATATTGCATAAATATCAAATGGGTCCTTGAAAACATGCAATATGAAACTGAAATCTTATTTTATTCTATTTTTAAAAAATGTGAATTTATTTTTTCGTTACATCTGAAGTCAAAATTTTTAAATTTTAATTTTATCAGAAATTCGTCAACATATTATAAAATAACGAATACAACACTACAATAATCTTTTGGGTTGATTTTTTTGAGTATTTTGCCACATTTATTGTTATAAAATAACATGTTTTCAAAATTTATATATCTAATTAATTATTATTTTTTTAATTAAAATTATGTTTAAGTCGATAAATCGTTCTTGTAGAATAACTTTTGTGGAAAATTGATTTTTTTTAGTAAAAATAATAAAATCTGTGTTCCGTTATTAATTTAATACATAGAGATCTATGTTATATAACATTTTATTTACTTTCACAAGTTATATGTAATTTCATGTTTTTTCTGAAAATGAATAAGGTTTTTTTTTTTTTTTTCAAAACAGCATAGTTTAAAAATGTCTTTATAAACTTAGCACTAAAACTGTTAATTTACACACTTTGATAATACTTAATCCTTTGAAAAAATTATTTTAAATATTCATTTTAAAGTTCTTAATAGTTTTTTCCTTTTTTGCTTTTTATAAATGATTTTGTTAAAATATTTCTAAAATAGTTTTTTATTTGGTTTCTTTTATAGTTTTTTCACTTACACTATGTACATAGTTACGATTATTTGACTTCACAAAATTCTGAAAACAACAAATCAAAGTAATTTTCAAAATCTGATTATATAATTTATTATTTGTATTTTAATGCTCATTTCATATCTATAATAATATAGAAAATTTTAAGACATTAATGAAGAACACTGTGAAGAATATTGTAAAATCTCTCATTTTACTTGAAGTTGCCATCCCATTCATACTTTTAACGTGGAAAAATCAGGCTTATAATGATTTGGTATATAATAATGATAATAAAAATGATATCTGTTCTTCTCTGTTTTTTTTTTTTTTTCTTTACACTTTATGCTTTTACTTGATAAAAAAACACTTCTTTATCGTAGAAATAGATTGATCTATTTGTCCTTTTAAATAATAAAAACTTATGTTTTTCTTTTTATTTTTTAGGACATATGTGTTACAGGATTAAATATAAATGTTTATTCAATTAGAGAATATATTATAAGAACTCAAAGATTATTAGCAAGAGGTGCAAAAAGAAGGGATTCAATAATTGCAGGTTCAACTGGGAGTTTATTATCGAATTACCAAAGTGAGAATGGAGAAGCATTAGAGTATGATCACCAGTCGTCACAATATGGTGAAGAAAATTATTATAATCAGTCATCACGACATGATTTAGAAAACTATTGTGACCAGTCATCACGACATGATTTAGAAAATTATAGTGACCGGTCATCACGACATGATATATTAGGTTATGATGATCTACCATCCCAATACGATGTAGAAGATTATGATTACATAATAAAAGATTCGAAAGTAAGTATCAATTCAAAATACGGATCATCATCAAGGAATGATGAATTATTTAAAGGACAAGGAGAAGATAACAGTCTTAAAAAAAAAAGAAAACCCTCTAGTGTAATTGAAAAGGATGGAAACTATAGAGAGAATGAAATATTTGATTCATTGAGTTCTTTTGACAAATATGAAGAATATTATCCAGTGGATAAAAGAACTATGAAAAATCTTTTAAGTCAAAATCCAGCTACAAATGTAATTGTAGAACGAGGCTTAGCAGCAGCATTACCAATAGCTGTGGCATTAATGGCTTTATATCCCCCTCTTATATTTTGTCTTTTTGGTGGTTACACTTATGTAACGATACGATGTATTCATAAAAGCATAAATAAAAATAATCATGTAAAAAAATCAGACTTAAAAAGCATAGCATATTAATTTAATTTTTAAGAAAGTTTACAAATAAAATTATAACATTTTAAATCCATGACACGCAGTATTATATCATAAAAAAAAAAAAATAGTGCACTCTATACTGAATGCTTGATTTTCACAATATAGCAAAGAGCATACATATTGTGCACTGTTTTGATGTAGATCATTTGTAAATATATTTAATTAGTTTTACTAGGATTTTAATGTTTTTTTTTTGTTACTCTCTTAATTTAAGTATATTTTTAAGTTGAATTTAATAATTAGATTTAATATATTAAAATACAAATGCATAGTTTTGAATTACTTAAAACCTTTTTACCTTAAATATATTTTAAAAATAACAAATTCCTATATATATCTGTATATCTATGTTTTATTAAGAATATGTGCATGAACACTGTTTTTAACGAGCAAAATAACAATTCTTAGAATTAAATTTAATATATTGGTTAAATAACGATATTAGGTGTTAAAAATGTTAAATTCGTTTTTAATTTCTTGAGTAAAAATTTAGTTTGATTTATTTGTCTAGTTCAAAATGTATGTGTATCTTTATTCTTATTACATCTGTTTTTTAGCTCTATGTTTATTTTAAGAGTTATATATATATATATATATATGCACATTCCTATATTTTGGTATAAATATATATCATTCTATTCGAGTTGAGTCCTCATATTTTTATTTATAATATAAATTATAATAATTTTTACATTTCATCATTATTTAAAGTTCACAATAAAACATTAAAAACCTTTAAATATCCGTACGACATTTTGTATACTTATATTATTAGGGTACATATAATTGTAACCCCTAAACGTTTTTAACAAAAACAATAAATCAACCGCAGTTATAATAAATCTTAATACTGTTACAAACGTGATTTATATAAAATTCAGAAACCACATTTTTAATAATTGGATAGGTATTTATTATATTTTTAAGGAAACGCCCAATTACCAGCGTTCTACATGTTAAAGTATCTACAACACAATGATGGAAAAACATTTTAGTTGATTGATAAAGTGTACGATTTCTATTTCTTCTCTTCCAGATGACATATTAGATTGTTGGATGGATTTGATATTATTTCATTTTGATAAAATTAATGATTTTTTTTTTATTAGAGCAAAAAATACATTAGATAAATAGAATCACAACAATAATGGTAATTTGTATATTCATCCATAATACGAAAAAGGAAAAATTTTACAAAAACAACAAAAAGAAATAATAAATTTATTAATATGTGCCATATACGCAAAATTATTTATGACACTTTATAGGAATATTATTTATGGATACATATAAATATTTCAAGCCAATAAATGTAGACTAGTTTTGTAATGTAATGTAAGCTTAAAATGTGGAATTATTAACGTTCCATTTTGTTATCCAATAATTGTAAATCATTGTATTGTATATTTCTTAATTAGTAACTTCTTGGTAATTTCTCTACTAAAAATTAATTCCTTCGCATTAAAATATTAATCAAGGGAGTTATCATTTTGCACTATTTCTTTTAATGTTACTATTGCTTTTCAGTAAGCTAAAAGAATCAATGTATGTTCTATTGTTTAAGATCCATAATGTATTTATTTTCTTGTTATCTCAACCGTGTCACCTTAAATCCGATCTTTTTCTACTTTTTTACTTACTACGAAAGAATATCCAAGTGGATTGATATATTGCTGAAAATTTTGTAAAACATATATGATTTTTATTTATTTAACAATAATATAATATAAATTACACATTTTATAAACTTTAACTTATGCAGTATATTATATTTCATTTTCCTTTAAGTTTAATCATGGATAAGAAATATGTTCTGTAAATTTTTAAATGCGTATTGTACCTACTTTCGGAAGTTTGTTACATACAGTATATAACAACTATGTTAGGTAAAACTTATATATTAGTTGAATTTCAGTAGTTATTTTATTCTAAATGGCTAATGATATATATATGGAACATGTATATATTATATACATAATTTCCTTTTTTAAAATTTAATGGGCTCCATGCTAAGTTTCATGAAATTTAACCTTTTATTTAATAACTCATAGAAATTATGGAAATTTATGAATATTATTTATTTAAGAAGAACAATATTTATTATTTATGTTTTCATGTATTTTCCTTATAGTAAGTATTTTATTTATTATATGTATTTTTCATTGTAACAATATGATATAAGTGAGAAATGAATTAACTGCTTTTGATGTAGTTTAAAAAAATATTATTTTACACAGCTATCTCTGAAGTATAGAAGCATAAATTGTAAAATGTTTTTGTTATATTTTTTACCAATAAATTTAAACAAATATAATTTAATTAATAAAAAATTGTAGCACTGAGTATATTTTTTTGTAAAATTGTTAATTCAAAGTGCTCTTTTTTGCATGTAAAAATTATACACCATATATGTCATTATGGTATTAGATGATTATAACATAAGTATATGTTTTTATATATACCAAATACACATGTTAAAATAATTAAAATTATATGTTTATGTCAATTCTACAATAAGCCATCATATATTAATGCAAATATTTGATTTGTTTTAGAATCAACTATATTTCTCTGAAAAATACTTGTTTAGAAGCCTTAAAATATATTATATCCATATTTTCAATATATAACAGTTTATATTGTTTTGAATTGAATATAATATTTTTTATTATACGTCATTTATATAACACTTTATTGTGTTTTAAAATTGAAATAACATATAAAAATTATATATAATATAAAATTGTACATTATATTTAGTTTTATCTTCTTACTTTCTCTTTAATTTTTTCAAATTTATTAATTTTTTTATGTGTGATGTACGTTAATACTGTAATAACTTATTCTTAAAATAATTATCGTTCTTATTTCGTTTGCAGTTTATAAGTAATTTTCTTAAAATTAAATATCTTATATAAATAATATGTCAACAGATGATGTGATCTTATTATTCCTAAATGCACAATTATATATATAAGGACTGCTGTTTCTTCATTTGACTATATGTATTAAAGCATGATGGCATTAACAGAAGATCAATTAGTATGTTTTTTTCGCTTATTAAAAAAAATTTATGTATACATTTTAATTAACATAATATTATATTTTATATATAATAAAAAATTCATGCAATTATGTTTACATATATATAAGTAATTTATTTTTTATGTATATTTTAGGATAGCGTTTCAGACGTGTTATTTTCCAAAAAAAATTATAATATACTCGATGATAACGTTAAAAATCATGAAAGTAATAATTATTGTAACTTATTCAGCACTTTCGAATACAAGTATAAAGGAATTAAAGATTTGTGTCAAAAAATTGCTAAGAACTTAAAAGAATTACCATCATTAAATAATGTTGGAAAAACTTATCGTGATCGTTGTTCTTATATGAATTACTGGGCATATAATGAAATTTTGAAAAAATATCAATCAAATTTTGTTGTCATTGACAGAGATTTGGCAGATAAACTTTTTGACGTTGTTTTTAATATTAATAAAGATCATTTAAGTCTAGATTATAGGTGTTATATTCCTTTTGAAGGAGATTTTTTTAAATGGAAAAATTTGAAAATTTTACATGATTACTTTAGAAATGTTGATGAAATTGAGAGTAATATTGATTCGATTGAAAAGGACAAGTGCGAAGAATATGATAAGTATATCCAATTAATTAAACCAATTTATGATATATATGCAGGAAAATGTTGCACATGGGAAGATGAATGTCCATTTTTTTTGTGTGACTATAAGTATGATCATCATGTAATATTACATAAATTAAAAAAACGTTGTAATGGTACATCATATAGCAGAACGCCAGATTCAGATACAAAGAGAAAAATTCGTCATGAAGAGGATAATTCAGATTACATAACTCTACCTAATCTACAATTACTTGGTGCCAAGCATGAGGCGACGGTTAAAGCCAAAAGTACTAAAAAATATATATACGCAAATGTAGATGAGACAAAAACTCCTACTACATATAAATACCTTAGATGTCGTAAATGGTTTATAAACAAAGGAGAAAAAGATGATGATCTTTCTACATTTGCTAGGTGTTATGAAACTCCAGTAAGGCAAGAATCTTTTGATAAAGTTTTTATATCTTCTGCAATAAAGAATCAAAGAGATACAATAATTCTAGATTTAAAATCTACGGATTTTGATTCAACTATTAGAGATGCTTCTGATATGTTAGAAACCCCAAATCACATATCAAAAACAATAACTTTTCGTATTGGCGCATCCATTGTTTTGTTTTTAGGAATCGCTATGGTTTTTTTTATTTATTTTAAAGTAAATAAAAATTCGTATAGAAATGTAAATATGATGTTTTAAATATTATAATACATTTTTTCAAAATTCTATAATTATAAAAAAAAAAATATGTTATATGTTCTCTTTATTTATCATTAATAAACATTAGTTTACGCCGCTTGGATCTTGGATAAAAAATAGGACAAGAAAAAATAAAACAGTTAAAAAGAATCACAAAGTTCAACGCAGAAATCTTCCACCAAATACTTCCCCAAGACGAGCAAATGCTAATATCCCTAACAAAACAATACGAATCATGTACGATTCATAGTGAATTATATTGAACACATATGGAGGATAACATAAAAAGCTTTAAAATAATAACAATAATAGAAAAAAATATCTATTACTACCAATAATTGTTTTGGATTAGTATTAAATAGAAAAATAAAATTTAATATAAAAAGAGCATTAAATTTTCTTTATTTAAAAAATAATAATATTTATTTTTATACTTCTTTTTAGTAATTTCAGAATAATATCAATATTTAGGAACCTTATGAAACAATTAAATTATTTTATTTTTTATTTTCATATTTGAACATTCATATTTATGAAAACATAAGTTAATATTATAAATCATTCTCAAAAAAATAAAATCCTTTTTTTAAATTTTTAAATTTTCTAATATTTTAATATACTATAATCCATAAAAATAAAAAATTAATGATTTTTTATATTCTTCAAATAAGAAAAGTTATTTATAACACATGTGTGTTATTCTCTGTTTATTCGGGCTTTTAGTGTATAATAATTATATTTTAAAAAAATAAAAATTTATGATTTACTCAAATAAAATAAGGAAATTTTTATAAAATTCATCTAAAAATTAATGGTAAAAGGTAATTTATAGATTTGAATATTAGAGAGTTAAGAGGAAAGGGGTACATGATTTATATTAGAAAAATAATTTAAGGTTAAATATATGTTAACTTAATTATAATATAGAATAAATCTATGAAAAGTTCAAATTATTTTTTTAATTTTATAATATTACATTTTATTAGCACATTAATTGCTCATTGTATTTATTTAAGAACTATAGGTTTATACTCAAAGTAGTTATTTTCTTAGATAATAAAGTAATTGTTTATATTTGATAATATTCATATAATTAATGTAGATGGCGCATAAAACAATCATTCATATTATTTTTTGTAATTAGAATCATAATATATAAATTATAATAGAGTAATTCTTTTTATATGCAGTGTATTGAAAAGTTGATATTACCTTTTTTTTTGTTCTTCTTTTAAAATAAAAAAATCTTGAGCACTTCATTAGAAATTAAAAAGGGGCCTTAAAATTTTCAGTAATTATTGTAATTTATTATATTTTATGGATTCTTAGGCATTATATTTATATACATAAAATCTATAATCTAAGTATATATATTACTGGACATAAAATTTAGTTTCATTATTTCAAGTGTGCAACATATTTCCAAAAAAGCATATTATATTTATTCTTTATTTTATTTATTATTTTCATCAACCATAAGTGTTATTAACTAATACTTCTACATGGAACATAACAACAACCCCAAATGCATAAAAGTACATGTATACTAAATAATAATGTAAAACTATGTGTCATATTAGTTTTACAATTAGGAAAAATTAAAAAAAAAAAAAAAAAAGCATCAAATGTATTATGAGATTCTATGCATGATTAATATATGTTATATTATATTGGGTTAATTTTATTACACTACTCAGTTATTTTAAGTAAATAATTTTTAAAGCATTATTCTTAAATTTATTTTAGCTTCTTATTATACGTAATTTGATATTAAAAATATTTTTTTCTTTTTACTAAGGAATAAATCATTATAATATATTTTTATATTTTTTATTATTTTTTCGTATCACGGTTCCTAACAATGTTATTTATTACACTGTAAAACATTTAATTTTGTATAAAATAAAAATTTATATGGTCATTGTACTGAAATAAGAACAAACAATAGGCGTCATTTTTCTAATTATATATATTGGTTGTTTCTCATGAAGGAGAAAGTAATAAAAAAAAGAATAAGTTATTTTACACCTTTTCATTATATAATATGCGTATGCACTAAATTGTTAATCGTCTGCAAAAAATTAAAAATAACTTTTTTGAAAAATGTATAAAATAGAATACTTCATAATTCCATAAAATTAAATATACATAAACAAAAGTAATAATAATACTTTTGAATAAATGTGAAATGAGATTTTTCATTAAAATGGGAAAAAGTATGTGCATGGTTCTTTAGAACAAATATATTAATTAATAATCACAAAAGTAAATTATAAGACATTAAATATGTACAAAATTTACTACAAAAAAATAAGTTAAAAAGACAAAAAGAACTTTTTAAAATTAGATAATCATATTTACAAAGTTTGCATTATGTAATATGAGCTAATAAAGCAATTTTTTTATAGTGTCTTTTCTATAATTCATTTTCCTATTTACTACATTTAAAAAACAATTATCTGATTTTGTTAGAGCTACTTTTATTTCCTTTTTCATATATTTCATTTTCGTTAATATTTAATTCGTTTCTGTTAAATAGTTTTTACATATTCTCAATAAAATATTAAGCACTGTGAAAATTAATGTTTAATTAATACGATTCTATAACTTCAGGTATATATGTGCTGAACTCTCACATATTTTCAACGTTTATATATAATGTATCTCTTTCTGTACGTTACATACTAGTACTTCTTTTAATATTTTCTTTTAATTACAAGCAAAATAGGGGATAATAAGAACGTGTTTTATTTAATTAATTATATTTCCACACCTTTTTGTACCTATAGTAATCAAATATAAAATTTATATCTATAAATAATTCGAATTTTCAACCTTTCAATTACTTTCATTCCATAAGTATTCTTTTCTTATATTTCTTATTAAAAATAATTACGTATATGCATTTACAAGCATTAATTCTTCATTGTATCATTCTTAATATTTTCACTTTAAATGAATAATTAATAAAAATATTATCGTACAGGCAGATATAAAAAATATAATTACCTCGTTTCATGTTCTCAAATATATTTGCTAGATCATGCTCTGATAAATCAGATTCAATATTATCGTAATTGTGATTGCTAAATTTTTTTTTCCTAAATCCATTCTCATTGAACACTAATCCATCTGAAGTCGACTAACATGAGAACAATAATCACATATAATATGTAACACATTTTTCTTTCTTTCCTTTTTTTTTTTTTTATTATAGGATTAACACAAGCAAATAATACTTAAAAACAAATAATACTTATAAAATAATATTAAATTTATATTTACCTTATAATAAAACAAGAAAAAACTAAATGTTCCTACTATTGAAGCAAACATAACAGTGTGTTGAAAAGAGTTTGAATTTAATGTAATGTGTATTGTGTCTATAACATTGTAAGAATCAGTGACATATACATTTATATACTAGGAAGAAAAATATTATTATTGGTTGAACTTTCTGTGGGTGCATTTGGTACATTAGTGTTTGAATTTGATTCATCAGATTCCTCAATTTTCGGAGGAATGGCTTTTACATATGTTTGATCTTTCTTTTGCTTTAATAAAGTAAATTCTAACTATAATTTATCTAACAATTTTCAAGGATCGTACCTAGTTTTATATTTAATGCAGGATTTACAAGATTCTTCGATAATATCATCATCACAACAATCCCATTCCTTTTAATTATACATAGTGATAATATACGTAACACAATCTATGTATTTTTGGCATTTTTCAGCATCAGAATCTATGCAACTAATCTTTTCAAATTTTTCAAAATAATCATGCAAATTCTTCTATTTTTGCGCACTGCCACTGCACCAGAAAAATAGTATCTGCAAGCCACCTCATTTAAATGTTTTGTTTTGAAAATTTCTTCTATATTAAGGAGTCTTTCAACAACTTCCATATTTTTAATTTCTTCTCCATTGCCGTATTTTTTTCGTAGTTCATCAAAGAACCTATGCTGAATGTAATAACAACGAACTTTACGTTTATCCCCAGTTTATTTTGATATTTCATTTAAAATATGGATAACCTTTTTACAAAATAATTTAATAGTAACATTGTCTTCTCCTAATTAATTGCAGAATCCATTTTCATCAAGTAAATTTTCTTCATTATTCATGTCATTATATTTCCCATAAAAAGGTGAATCAGGTAACCTTTTTTCCTAAAATATAAATAAATGCTACATATAAATATAAGCACTTTCAAAGATGTGGTTTTTCATTGTCTTAAATTATTTACAGTATTCACATAATATACAATTTACATATTAAAAATGTAAATATACCCAATCGTTTTGTTCTAAAAGCGCCATTATATTGTAAAATATTTTATCTAATCAGAAACAATGATCTTCTTCCCAAAATATCTATTTATATATAGATTATAATAATACGAGATCTATTTCTTCACTTTACATTTCTTTGCATTGATATTAATTGTTAAATAGTTACTTATGTGAATTCTCTTTTGTTTCGTCAAACATTGAACTATTATATTGCCATAAATACGATTTAAAATAAATATTTTTAATTACATATATATTTACTCTTAAAAATTAATAGTATAATAGTAAAAATAAAATACTTCTTTGATAAACCTTATTGTGTAAACTATCAATTTATTAAACAGTCATATAGTTGTATTGATAGTTTCTAATAAAGATAATGGTATATAATTTTCATAAAGTACAAATGTTAACTCTTACTGACGTCTTAATTATTTTATATGGTTTTTTAAGCGCTTTTTATAGACATAATTTTTTTTAATAAAAAGAAGCATACCATCAATATATAACAGACACGGTTGTAAAGTAATAAACGAGGATCCTTTTATTATACGATTAACCCCTTTTCAGGCGTAAAATAATAACTCTGGCTTATTATTGCATATTTATTATCCACTTATAATGCATTAAAAATATTAATAAAGTAATACAAATTAATAATGATAATAAGTGTTGTGTTTCTTTTATTGTATATAAAAAGTTCGTCACCCCCCAATGTTATTGATTCTGTTTGTATTAATTAAATCTATGATTCACATTATTCAAAGTTAATCGATTATCCTCTACTTTTCTATTAATTAAATTTTGGATCACAGAAAATGTTGTTCTTTGTTATGAAGTACTCAATTTTTAATATGTAATACATAGATTCTCATAGGTAAATAAATATAATTTTTTGTGTATTCACAAGATTAATTCTTCCAACAGCCTATAACAAAGAACATATTTAAAAA